GTAAAATGTGAATGTGGTTGGGCTAATTTGCTGATTATCTCTAGTATTAATTTATGTAGAGAGCCGACTTTGTGTAGGGCCTCGTTGCGACAGCCAAGCTGACCCCAGTGACAGCAGTAAGTACCTCTCCCATTCTAAGTCTGATTCCTATACTAGTATTAGCCTGCAATTTCAACCCTTATAGAACGTTTTAATTTGTATGTGAAATTACGACGCTGGTTGGCAAATCCGAAATGCACATGTCGATTGACGTCACAGAATATATGACGTCGAATACATTTTGACGACAATAACGTTCAGAAGCTCATTTGTGATTTAACAGTCCCGTAGTTAATGAAAAGTTTCTAAATCATCTTCATGCACCGCCAGATAGTGATTAATAGCTTGTGATGGAATTTGATTAAAAGCCATTTTTTGTCAATTATGTCAAACCATCAATTTACGAGATATCAATATAATCATAGTCATTTTTTTAAAGATTGCTGGCATAAATTAACCTGTACATTAATTAATTTGTAAAGAGTCACTAATTATTCAAGAAAATATTCTAGCATGTTTGATCGTCGTGTTTCAGACATATTGGAAATCAGATAAGATGCATTTAAAATGTTTATTTATTAAATTTCCATATTTTCTCTGTCTCAGGTTCTGACCACCCTCGAACTGTGACGACACCATCACCTTCTGATGACGATGATGACGAAACCCAACATGGACAAAAAGCACCCCATAAAGATAACGGCGGCATTGTCATGGTTCCTTCAGTGTTAACCACTAGTGTCTTGTTGCTATGTGTTTTCTTCGTTACCAAGTAGATTTAAATGTCAGATTTAATCTTATCAGCCATACAATAGCTAACAGTCTATCAAATTTATTTCAATATCAATTTTTGAGATTGTGAACCAAATATCTAGGCAATTTTCACAATCATAAAACTCCATCCTCAGGATTTTCTTATTGGTACAAAACCCTCGGTTTCTCGGTGCCTCGCGATCGGGTTTCATCCAATTTGAAAACCCTTTCAGTGATATTTCCTTATCCTTCACACCGGGCATAAAGGTGTTTTATAATCAATAACCTGAGAAGGATTCGAACCACGGGTCATTGGTCCTGAATGTTCGAAAATGAAAGAAGACAAAACGACAAACAGTAGCAACCCTTCACTACAAACATGGTGTCGTTTATCTACAAACTTGTGTATGTCGGTCTAAATAAGCTTGTACGTTACACTTCATTTGTGTTGTACTTTTATTGACCATGAAAATAAAAAATGTGATATACAGTGTTAAGCGTATCTGTATCATAATGTGATGTAATATAATAACATGATACAATGTATATATGTTCCATAACGTCAAGTTTCAATTCATTAAAAAGAACATCATTATGACATTTATTTTCTTGTGGTGTTGTTTCTGAGTTTAAATGACACGTACTGTGAAGTAGGGTGTCCTTATCACAATGTCAACCATTCAGTAGTTTTTGTGTCCGTTTATGTTTCTAATATAATACTGACATTTAAAAGGTTACTTAAAGATTGTATGAGTGTATGGTTAGCTTAATCTCAAAATTCTTATTGCTTGAAGTTCAAGATTACGACAAATAGACCACTGCACATAACGACATAGTAGTAAATCAAATAACTGTAAAAAGACAACAAACAAATTCGCAAAAGGCATGTCTCTCCTGTGATGTGTTCCATGACGTAGTCTGATACCTAGGTCTGGACAGATTCAGCCGATCAGCAGTTAGGAAGTGCAGTTGCATTATAGTAACGCAGTCTTCGAATATATATGATTGGTACTATACAACCATGACCAAATGTGAAGAAACCCTGTGTATACATAGGAAACATATTTTCCGCAAATGATAACCTATTAGAATTAGGAAAGTGGCTGCAACATTATTCAATAACGACGCAGTTTCTATCCACCTTAGGACATATATCCTGGGTTTTATACAACCATAAAATAAATTTGAAGAAAACAAGAAAACCTGTGTATATTTTCCACAATCAACGTTTCAGAATTGAGGAAGTGCCCGAGACATGCTCGGATTGCTCACATTGCGATCATCTTAATTCTTAACTTTGCATTGTGACCTGCTGTCTAGTAGAACTGTCTATCAGCGAGGCTGCGATCTGTCGTCACTAGGAACTGTTATCAGTATAAATGATAGAAATTAATTGAAGGAAGGTTTTGTAATGATATCAGCCTCAGGAAATAGAAACATTTTATATTCGTATTCAAGAACCATTGCATCTGGTTGTAAACGAACGATGTTGTCACTCGGTTCACACAACTTTATAAAGAACCACACTTCTCCTAATTTCTGTTCACTGAGTGAGGTTTACTTGACAAGGTTTTTGACACACCATCCATTATTTCAGAATAAATACTACAGACGATTTCGAGGACGATGCTAGAAAATAGACGAAACGAGAAGAAATTCAGGTAGATTTCAATTAGGCATATAACAACAGTCTCCGTTTATTGGACAATGTTGGTAATCCTTTGTATCCATCTTCATATTCCAGAGCCGAAATATTGAACATGCATGTATGGGAATCATACGTGTTTACCACAATAAAAGACGGACTTTA